CAGCATCGGCAGTTCTTACTGTCTTGGAGTTAGTTATAACCTCACCCAAACGTGCCCTCCTCCACATTCCTGCCCCTTATACCTACAAGCTCTGCTTTGCCCATACGCATTCTTTTCTCTGTCCCTTGCTTCCCCCTACCCCTACTTGTGGGAAGTGGAATAGACAGTTAAAGGCTGGTTAATGTTTGATAACCCGTGTTGTGTAAGTTGTACCTGCTGTGTGAGTATTGCACAATCCCATTGATATTTTATCTTGTTTTACTGTGCTGACGTATTGTAAGTCCAGCTGTTTTCTGGACTGTTGCTGTCATGTTTTAAACGTGGCAGCTATGTTTGCTGACTTAAGAGCATATGTGCCAGGGTATGTATTGTACATACTCAGTTTTGGGGAGATCTGGATTGGGGGAGTTGGGGGTGAACAAGAAGTGGCAGCATGGAAGAAGGGAGACAGAAGGAGAGAGGACCTGCCCGTTGCTGGGCACACTTTGTTGCCCCTGCTTGCTGCTGTCTGTAACAAACCTGCACATACTTCCTTATGCACAAACCCTGCCATTGGAAACTAGGTGATTGCTGACTGTGAAGTCCAGCTCTTCTATAATTTTCTCTGCATTGAATGTAGCAAGGCTTTTTATCCAATTTTGTTGACTTGAAAAATGAAGATCAGAAACGGCACAAAGATCTAGTAAATCTAAAACAAAGTTACCTTGACCTGTTTTAGTGCGTGCTAGGGTTGATGTGAAGATATCCACTGACAGAGACATAGGGCTGCAGGTGCATAGTTCCTTGAAAGTGGAGTTGTAGGTGGACAGGATGGCGAAGGCAGCATTTGGCATCAGTCAGAACATTGAGTATAGGAGTTCGCACGTCATGTTGTGGCTGTACATTGGTGAGGCCACTTTTAGAATACTGCGTACAGTTCTGGTTGTGATCCTATAGGAAGGATGTTGCTAAACTTGAGATGGTCCTGAAAAGATTTACAATGTTACTGGGATGGGAGGGTTTGAGTTATAGGGAGAGGCTGAGTAGATTGGAACTTTTTTCCTGGAATGTCAGAGACTGAGGGGTGACCTTGTAGAGGTTTATAAAATCATGAGGGGCATGGATAGGGTGAATAGTCGCATTCTTTTTCCTAGGGTGGGGAAGACCAAAACTAGATGGTTTAGGTTTGAGATGAGAGGGGAAAAGTTTAAAATGTATGTGAGGGGCAACTTTTTCATGCAGACGATAGTGCAAGTATTGAGTGAGCTGCCAAAGGAAGTTGTGGTAGTGAGTACAATTACTCTTTCAAATGCCTTTTACAGTTGTATGAATAGGAAGGGTTTAGAGGGATATGGGCCAAATGATGGCAAATAGTGAGATTAGTGTAGAGCATGCTAATATGCTAGGGCATTTTAAAATAAAGAAAGAAGTGGTGTTTGATGACTTGAAGAGCATTAAGGTGGATAAGTCCCCACGGTTTAAAAGTATCTATCCCAGGTTATTGAGAGGAGATTGCTGGAGCCTTGACCAAGATCTTTGTATCCTTGCTAGCTTCTGGAGAGGTCCTGGAGGCCTGGCCAATAGCCAATGTTGTTCTCTGTTCAAGACGGGAAATAGGGATAATTGAGGAAACTATACACCGGTGAGTGTGTCATTTGTGGTTGGATAGCTACTGGAGAGAATCCTTAGGAATTGGATTTATGTGCATTTGGAAAGACATGGTCTAATTAGGGACAGTCAGCATGGCTTTGTGCAGGGAAGGTCATGTCTTTGTAGCTTGATTGAATTTTTTGAGGAGGTGACGAAGGTGATCGATAAGGGTAGAGCAGTGGATGGTATCTACATGGATTTTAGTAAGGCTTTCAACAATGTCCCTCATGGTAGTCTTATCCGGAAGATTATGACGCGTGGGATCCACGGTGACTTGGCCATTTGAATTCAAATTGGCTTGCCCATTGAGGATGGAGGGTAGTGGTGGAAGGATGTCCTTCTGGCTGAAAGTCCATTATTAATAGTGTTCTGCAGGGATTTGTACTGAGACCTCTGCTGTTTGTATATAAATGACTTGGATGAAAACGTAGACGGGTAGGTTAATACGTTTGCAGATGATACAAAGATTGGAGTTGTGGATAGCCTTGGAAGGTTGTCAAAGGATACTGCGGGACGTAGATCAGTTACAGATATGGGTAGAGAAATGGCAGACAGAGTTTAATCCAGGCAAGTGTGAGGTGCTGCACTTTGGGAGATCAAATGTTAAGGAAAAGTATCTGGTTAATGACAGGGCCCTGAAAAGCATTAATGTATAGAGGGATCTTGGGGTTCAGGTCGACGCAAGTAGATAGTAGTAAAGGAGGCAAATTGCATGCTTGCCTTTATAGGTCGGGGCATTGAGTACGAGAGTCAGGATGCAATGTTGCAGCTTTGTAAGACTTTGGTTACGCTGCACTTCGAGTATTTCATTCAGTTTTAGTTGCCACATTACAGGAAGGATGTAGATGCTTGGAGAGGGTGCGGGAGAGATTTACCAGGATGCTGCCTGGATTAGAGGGTATGAGCTATAAGGAGAGCCTGAACAGATGAGATAAGTGTGTGGAGCTGGAGAAACACAGCAGGCCAGGCAGCATCAGAGGAGCAGGAAAGCTGACGTTTCTGATCGGGACCCTTCATGCTGCTTCTCTGAGCTGCCTGGCCTGTTGTGTTCCTCCAGCTCCACACTGTGTTATCTCTGACTCCAGCATCGGCAGTTTATACTGTCCCTGAACAGATGAGGGTTGTTTTCTCTGGAGTGGCAAAGGCTGAGGGGAGACTTGATGGTTTATAAAGAGACCATAGGACTGACTGGATTGCTGTTAGAACAAGTAGGCACGGATTTGTGCTGTACTGTTCAATGATTCTGTCAGCATCACTTTTTGTTCTTGTCTGCACTAAACTCACCTCTCCAACACTGGATGACTTGTTCTCTTCCCTTGCTTTTGGCTGTTTATCTGTTACTGTGCTCTTGCATTTTGTACTGTGCTTGTACATCATTCCTCTGCTCTACTTTTAACACTTCAAACTTTACTCTGTCTCGATGACCGTTTCCATCCACTTAGCCCTGTTGTTTTGCTGTGAAGTGATGTTTTAAGAGGTTTTTCCTGCATATAGACAAGTACTGTAGAGAAACAAATCATGCGAGCACATTACTTTGTTTCAGAGATAGTAGGAACTGCAGATGTTGGAGAATCTGAGATAACAAGGTGTAGAGCTGGATGAACACAGCAGGCCAAGCAGCATCAGAGGAGCAGGAAGGCTGACATTTTGGGCCTAGACCCTTCATTACATTAAACTGCATACAACTTCTGTGTTTGAAGTTAACTCAAACCTGTTTCCCATCATTAAAGGCTTTTAAAAGTGCTGTATATGTTGAATTTGTTATCAATACTAGCAGCTTTTGGACAATTGTGCCAGTCAGCTAAGTAAGGTCCTCTCTTCAAGAACATGGATCATAAGGAGTAGGCCATACAGCCCCTCAAGCCTGAAATTCCATTCTAGATTAGGGCCTCTCTCCACTGTATGTATTCCTATGAGCCTTGACTCCCATAGCTAAAGAACAGAAGGAATGTAATTCAAGAATATTAATTATTGGTCAAAACATTAGTTTTTTTCATAATTATCCTGAAATATTGCTGGTCACTTTTTGTTCCTTCATAGGATGAAGATGCCATTAACTAGGCCAGCATTTCTTGCTCTTAGGAAGGTGATGAGCTGCCTTGACCTTTTTTAGTGCACGATGAAGTGGAGTGAGAGCATTCATTGGGATCTCTTCTGCAACAGACAAGACCTGTTCAAAAAGGATGGGTTTTACCTGAACTGGAAAGGGGCCAATACCCTGGCAGGGAGATTTGCTAGTTCTGTTTCAGGAGCCTGTAAACTTTTAGCGGGGGTGGGGCCTTCCTAAGTAACAGTGAAAATGGAAAAAAATGAGGAAAATTGGAAAAGAGAAAGTTAATTAGAAAACACAAGACAATTCAGAATGAAGTAACTCCGAAGAATTAAACTGCATTTGTTTCAATGCAAGAAGCCTCACAGGTAAGGCTGATAAACTCCAGGCATGTATTGGAACGTGGGACTGTGATGTCGTAGCTATTACAGAAACTTGGCTGAGGGATGGACAGGCCTGTCAGCTGAGTGTTCTGGATTTTAGGTGTTATAGGAAGGATGGAAAGAGAGGAGTGGGAGTGGTGTTTTTGATTAAGGAAAGCATTACTTCTGTAATTAGAGAAGATATTTCTGAGGGATCATTTAGTGAAAATGGATAGGTTGAAATTAGGAATAAGAAAGGGATGATGGGGTTGTGCTGTAGGCTGTCCAGTAGTCAGGGAAATTGAGAAGCGGATATGTGTAAGAATAAGAGGGTCATAATATTAAGGAATCTTAATTTTCCAAACATTGACTGGGACCTCCATAGTGTTAAAGGCTTGGATGGTGAAGAATTTGTGTTCAAGAAAATTTTCTTTCAATATGTAAATCTTCCTACTAGAGAAGAAGCAAAACTTGACCTTCACTTTGGTAATATGGCCGGACAAGTGAATGAAGTGTTAGTAGGGGGACACTTTGGGACCAGTGATTGTAATACTATTAGTTTCAAAATAGTGATGGAAAAGGATAAATCTTCCATAAAAGTTAAAGTTCTTAATTGGAATAAGTCAAATTTTAAAAAGTTGATTGGAATGGATTGTTTGCAGGTAAAGGGATGACTGACTATTGGCAGGCTTTCAAAAGTGTGATGAGAATTGAGAGGCATTATGTTCCTGTTAGCGTGAGAGGTAAGGCTAGTAAAATAGGGCACAATGGATGAATAAAGATATTGAGGTTCTAGTCAAGAATAAGAAAAATCATAGACAAGTTGGGATCAACTGAACCTCTTGGAGTATAGAGATTGTAGGGGCATTCTTAAGAAGGAAATCAGGAAGGCAAAGAGAGGATATGAGAGCCTTGGCAGATAAGGTTAAGGAGAGAGTATGGTTCCTTTAAAGATCAACGAGGTCGTGTTTGTGTTGAATCTCGGGAGATGGGAGGGATATTAAATGAACGTTTCACGTCAGTTATTACTGTGGAGAAAGAAATACAGGCTACAGAACTTGGGGGACATCAATTAAGATGTTTTAAAAACAATTCACATTACAAAAAAGAAGTGCTGGAGGGCTTAGACAGCATAAGGATAAATAAATCTCCAGGACCTGATCAAGTGTATCCCTGGACATTGTGGGACGTTAGGCAAAAAAATTGTCGGACCCCTAGCAAAAATATTTGTATCATCTAAAATCAACTGAAGAAGTGCTGGAGGTCTGGTGGTTATGGACCGGACCAGACCAGACCAGACCCCTTCAAAATATTTTAAGAAGGTAGCCTAGACCCTAACCTTATTTTAAAGGTAGGTGTGAAGTGCAGTGTTCCAGATGTGATGCAACTGGTCAGTCTACTTGATGTTAATCAAAATGCAATTTATTTAAACACTATTATTAAAATACAGACTAATTTAGAATAACTATTGGAAAACTTATCCAAATAATAGATACAGTATCTATTATTAATTAACTGTTCCAATATAATAACATCCTATAAACACATGCCTTGGCAAAAAGGCAAATTCAGACACATTCTTACCTGCTGTACTCCAATCCAGGACTAAGAAACATCAAGAGAAAAGTCAGAGTGTGTAGAAGCCAAGAGACATTCACTGAAGCTTCCAATTCTTGAAGCCCAGGGCTTGTAGCAGCTGCAGTACCCAGTGCTTTTAGGTTAGTGATAGTGTGTAGTTAATTGGTGCCCTTCTGGCGAAAGTGGGTGCAGATGTTTCAGCCTTGTGATTTTACATGGATGTGCCTGCCTGCATACTGCTGCAGCTGCCTTTGGTTATTTAGTTGTTCACTGTCATTCACAACCAGGTCATGGCAGGTCTGTGGTTATTGGATCTGATATGTTAGTTCTGTGATCGCTTAGCTTTGTTTGTCACATGCCATTTCTGTTCTTTGGAATGCAAGTTGTAACCGTTGGATGTCCTTTGGGATGTGCCTTCAGTATATCTGTACTTGTCTCTCCAAATTCGGTTTCCGTTACTGTTAACCAGATTTCTTTGATTTTTGTTCTAGATTAGTTCGTAGTGTTTTGCAACACATCAAGAATTTGTATGGAATTAAACTTGAAGTGAAGGGATTGGAAAATCTGGATGTCAAGGGTCCCTATGTCATTATCTCCAATCACCAGAGCTCACTGGATCTGATGGGTAAGGATGGACATTGCCAATAATTAGCATTGTAGAGTAATACTGCTTAATGTCAAATGTATTTGGCAGTTGGATTTTTAGTAGTTTATGTAATTAAAGAATACTGCTTTCAACGGATCACAATGACCTTTTACTGCCATATAAATTCCCTCCAGCACTCTGTGCTGTCTTAGTTCATTGGCATTCAGCTGGAGATGGCACCACAGCTGAAATCACTTCTTTCCTCACTGGATAGAACTTATGAGCAAGAATCTACAGAACTGCAAAAAGTTTGTGCTTAGTGTTAACTCAGTCATAACATCGGTCTTTAAGTGGTTATTTAGTCAATGTTGCAACTATGTCGTGTTTGCAGCAGATTTTCTGTTCTGTGGCCTGCTGCCCCACCTGTGCATATAGCATTTTGTGTAGTTTTCCCCCAAATTCCAGTGCTCCATTCCAAGAATCTTGTCTGCTGTTTCCAGTTCAGAAGTCACTGCAGTACATAGGCCTCAGAGGCCTACACAGCTGGGAACAAAATTAAAGGGAATGCTGCTTGCTGTACCTGCATACTAAGCTTTGTGATTCATGTACTAGGTAACTTGTATCTGTCTGCATCTGAGCTCCGTGATGAATCACCATTTAAATACTATGCTGCTTTTTCATTCTTTCTGCTGAAGTGCACAATTTCACCTTTCTCCACAATATATTCCATTTGCCAGATTTTTGCCAATTCACTTTACGTACCAGTATACCCCTCATTATATTCCTTATGTCCACTGATTCCATTGGTACACCACTTGTTACAATTTACCAACTTGGAAAAGACTCATTTATACGTAATCTGTGTTTCATGTTAGCCAAACATCTTTTTGCACCATTATATTACCCTTTCTGTCATGGCATAATCCAAGTCCAGCAGGTCTACCATTCCCCTTTCATCCATAGCATGTGCTACCTCCTCAAAGAACTTTAACAGGTTAGTCAAACATGATTTCCCTTTCACATAACCATGTTGACTGTCTGAAGACCATGAGCAATTTGAAAGCCTTCAATAACTTTATGGCTTCCCTTATGTTTTCCCTATGATGATGTTTTCTTTTTTCTGTCAACTTTTGCTATCTTCCAATGTAAAGAGGCCTTCCCTGACTCTAGGAAGTTTTCAGCAATTAATACCAATGTATCAATTATCTCACTAGCCACTTATGTAAAGACCGAGATGAAATCCATCAGGACCCAGGCACTAAATAAAAACTGAAAGAAACTGTGGGTACTGTAAATCAGAAACAAAAACAGTAATTGCTGGAAAAGCTCAAAGTCTGGCAGCATTTGTGGAGAGAAATCAGTTAGCGTTTTGGGTCGAATGCTCCTTCCTCAGACTCTTGCACTGGTCATTCTGCAATTCTAACAATTTACTTGTACCACTTTACTGGTAATTGTGACTTTTCTAACTTCCTCTCACTCTTCCATTTCTAGATTTATTGGTGCTCCTGGGGTGTTACTTGTATCCTCTATAGCGAAGATTGATGTAAAATACTTGTTCAGTTCACCCGCTGTTTCCTTATTTTCTATTATTAATTCCCAGGCAGAGAGCTCACTTTGTGAACTCCTTTTTCTTTCAAAACATTTCTAGAAACGCCTATCTGTTTTTATATTTCAAACCTGTTTTTTTTCTCTCTTATAATCGAATTTTTCCTTGTGTTTAGTGTTTTTAAATTAATTAATTGGATGTGGGTTTTGCTGGCTGGACCAGCATTTATTGACCATTCCAAATTGTCCTGGGGAAGGTGGAGGTTACCTTCTGCCTTGAACCACTGCAGTCCATGTTTTTTAGGTGCCCAATAATGCTGTTAGGGAGGAAGTATTAGGATTTTGACTCAGCATTTCTTAAGGGACTGTAATATATTTCCAAGTCAAGATGATTAGTTTGAGGAGAACTTGTAAATGGTGGTGTTCCCACGAATCTGCTGCCCTTGTCCTTCTAGCTGGAAGTGGTTATAATTGGAAAGTGGTGCCGAAGGTGGAGCCTGAGGGAGTGGATGCTTGTGAATGTGGTGCAAATCAGGTTGCTTTGTCCCGGATGGTGTCAAACTTGAGTGTTATTGGAGTTGCACTCATTCAAGCAATTGGGAAGTATTCCATCACACTCCTGACTTTTGTTGTCATTGGTGGACAGACTCTGGCGAAACAGGAGATGAGTTACCCGCTGCAGAATTCCTGGCCTCTGGCCTGTTCTTGTAGCCACGGTGTTTATATGGCTAATTCAGTTCAGTTTCTAGTCAGCGATAGCCCCCAGGATGTTGATAACTTTTCTCATTCACCGATGAGATGTAAACATCACCAACTAAACCAACATATATTGCCCAGAGGGCAGTTAAGAGTCCGAAACAGTGCTCTAGGTCCGGAGTCACATGTAGACCATAGTCATAGAGTAATACAGCATGGAAAAAGGCCCTTCAGCCCAAACTAGTCCACTCCTAGGAACTTGATGCTCTCTGGCATCTACATCTCAGCTCCATTGGTGTAGATAGGGATGTGTCCTCCTCATTGCTTCCTGAATTTGATAATCAGTTCTTTAGTTTTGCCAACATTGAGGGAGAGAGAGTTTGCTTGGTGACATGGTGCAAAGATAACAATCTCTTTCCTGTATTCTGTCTCAGGAGATAGGGGAGATACTAAACTAGTAATTTGCATCAGTGTTTACTGCGGAGTTGGATATGGAAGATATGTGGGGAAAAGCTTTGTTTTGCGTGCAGTAGAGACAGATCATACCATACGAAGACACAAAGATTATAGGGTGATTGAACAGAGTGAGGAGTACAAAGTTACGGCAACAAAGTTGTACAAAAAGCAAGATTAACATTAGATTTTAATGTTCTTTGCTAAAAGATTAAATTAGAAAATATTGAAAATGTCCACGTTACTGAGGAGGGAGTGCTGTATGGCTTAACGCACAAATGGATAACTCCCCAGGACCTGACTAGGTGTACCCTAGAACTCTGTAGGAAGCTCGGGAAGTGATTGCTGGGCCCATTGCTGAAATATTTGTATGACCAATAGCCTTGGGCGAGATGCTGGAAGACTAGAGGTTAGCTAACATGGTGCTATGATTTAAGAAAGGTGGTAAGGAAAAGCCAGGGAAGTATAGACTGGTCAACCTAACATTTTGGTGGGCAAGTTGTTGGAGGGAATCCTGAGGGACAGGATTTACATGTATTTGGAAAGGCAAAGACTGATTAAGGGATAGTCAACATGGCTTTGAGTGGGAAATCATGTCTCACTAACTTGACTGAGCCTTTTCGAGAAGTAACGAAGAGGATTGATGAAGGCAGAGCGGTGATGTGATGTACATGGACTTCAGTAAGGCAGTCAACAAGGTTCCTCATGGTAAACTGGTTAGCAAAGTTAGATCACATGGAATGGATGGAGAACTAGCTATTTGCTTACAGAACTGGCTCAAAGATAGAAGACAGAGGGTGGTGGTGGAGGGTTGCTTTTCAGACTGGAGGCCTGCGACCAGCGGTGTGCCACAAGGATTGGTGCTGGGTCCACTGCTTTTTATCATTATGTAAATGATCTGGATGTGAACATAGGAAATTTGGTTAGTAAGTTTGCAGCTGACACCAAATTGGAGGTATAGTGGACAGCGAAGATGGTTACCTTAGAGTACAATGGGATCTTGATCAGACAGGCCAATGGGCCAAGGAATGGCAGATTGAGTTTGATTTAGATAAATGTGAAGTGCTGCATTTTGGAAAGGCAAATCAGGGCAGGATGTTACCATTAAGTGTATAAGTCCTGGGAAGAGTTGCTGAACAAAGAGACCTTGGAGTGCAGGTTCATAGTTCCTTGAAAATGGAGTCGTAGGTAGACAGGATAGTGAAGATGGTATTTGGTACGCTTACCTTTATTGGTCAGTGCATTGAGTATAGGAGTTGGGAGGCCATGTTGCGGCTGTACATGATATTGGTTCGGCTACTTTTGGAATATTGTGTGCAATTCTGGTCTCCCTCCTATAGGAAGGATGTTGTGAAACTAGGAGTTCAGAAAAGATTTACAAGGATGTTGCCAGGGTTGGAGGGGCTGAATAGGCTGGGGCTGTTTTCCCTGGAACATCGGAGGCTGAGGGGTGACCTTGTAGAGGTTTACAAAATCATGAGGGACATGGCTAGGGTAAATAGGCAAGGTCTTTTCCCTGGGATGGAGGAGTCCAAAACTAGGGGCTATAAGAGTCCATACAGTGTGGACACAGGCCATTTGGCTCAGCAAATCCACACCGACCTGCCGATGAGTGTCCCACACAGACCCATCCCCCTACCTGATATTTTCCATGGCTAATACTCCTAACCTACATATCCTTGGGTGGTATGGGACAATTTAGCATTGCCAGTGCACCTACCTTGCACATCTTTGGACTGTGGGAGGAAACCAGAGGATACCGACGCAGGCACAGGGAGAATGTGCAAAGTCCACACAGACAATCATCCAAGTGGAGAATTGAAGCTGCTTTGCTGGTGCTGAGAGACAGCAGTGCTAACTGCTGAGCCACTCTGCTGTCCAGGTGAGACGGGAATTATTCCAAAGGAGCAACTTTCTCACACCGAGTGTGATGCGTATATGGAGTGAGCTGCCAGAGGAAACAGTGGAGGCTGGTATGATTGCAACATTGAAAACATCTGGACGGGTATATGAATAGGAAGGAGTTCAGAGGAATATGGGCCAAATGCTGGCAAATGGGACTAGATTTATCTAGGATGTCGGATTGGCATGGATAATCTAACCACAACCTCTTGACAGTCAATGGTGTTACCATCAGTGAATCCCCCACTGTCAACATCCTGGGGGTTATCGTTGACCAAAAACTCAACTGGACTCACCACATAAACACAGTGGCTACAAGAGTAGGTCAGAAGCTGGGAATACTGCGGCGAGTAACTCACCTCCTGACTCCTCAAAGCCTGTCCACCATCTACAAGGCACAAGTCAGGAGTGTGATGGAATACTCCCCATTTCCCTGGTTGAGT